GCGTGGCAGGGCTGGAGCTGGGGCTGCCCCAGTGACAGCTGAGTTGTGGGCTGGCTGTTGCAGGCACTGCTGTCGGAGGCACTGGGGGTGCTGGGTGTGGTGCGGAAGGAGCGCCTCCTCTACCTGGTGGGGCAGACCCGGGTGCACCTGGACCGTGTGGATGGCCTGGGGGATTTCATGGAGCTGGAGGTGAGTGGTGCAGGCTGGGAGGCGTGCTGCTGTGTCCCCTCCTTGTCCTGCAGGCCAGGTGCTGGGATTGTGCCACCACATGGCCGTGGCCCCACAGCCGATCTGCTCTGACGTGTCTCTTCCATGGTCTCTGCAGGTGGTACTGAATGAGGAGCAGAGCCTCCAGGACGGGGAGCAGGTGGCCCGGGCACTGATGGAGGAGCTGGGGGTCCGGGAGGAGGATCTCATCTCTGGGGCCTATCTGGACCTGCTCCTGGCCCAGGGGGAGTTGCAGCAGTGAGCTTTAGCCCTGCCCTGGCTTGCACCCTGACTGCCAGGAAGACGGTCCGGAGTCCCCCCATCCTCCATGTACACATCTCCCTGCCGCTGTGATGGGTGGGCGGCTTAGGCCCTCCTCTGCCCATCTGAGTGGGGGTGCAGCATGAGTTCAGCCTCACCCTGCCCAAGGGGCTGCCTGTGAGGACATGCCCTTGTTTCTAGGATGTGCCCCCACCCCCAAGGGAGGGGCTGGCTGGCTTCAATAAATACTCAGTTCTGGACCAGGGCCATGTCCTTTGCCATCCAGCAGCTGGGCCAGAGTCTGGGCAGCAGAAGCTAGGATGCCTGTGTTCCATGTGTGGCTCTGCTGTGCACACCCCAGCCCTGCGGTGGGGTGACAGATGCTGCAGGGGATGGGGTTAGCTCATGGGTGTCTTCAAAGCACCAGGCCATGCCTCTGTAACCAAACCTGGGTTGCGGGGAGGAGAGAGGTGCTGTCTCCAGGGCCTTTCCTTGTTCACTGGCTACCTGGATGTTTGGGGCTGCTGTTTTGCGCAAAGAAGAGCAAGATCTGGTGGAGGAAAGTCTCCCTGCTGAGTTGCCCCTGGCTCAGGTGCAGTGGATGAGGAATCTCTGCAGCTGGCTCCAAGAGCCCTTCACCCCCTCGGTGGCTGCCGACGGGTTGTCAGTGCTGGGCCCTGCAGGAGCCAGACCCAGCTTGGCTGAGAGGAGTGGGTGGGGTGACACCAGGCAGGGTTGTGGGGCAGGAGGAAAGAACTGATCCAAGAAGGGAAGGAGGGGAAACTAGCACTGGAGGAGCAAGGCACCTGGTGGAGGAAGCTGCCTGCAGGCTGGGCCCTAAGAGGCGGCAGGGCTTGCCAGAATGTGGGCCTGCCAGTTCTGGTGCACATACTCAGTGCTATGCCCCCACTGCAGCACATCAGGAGAGCATGGCCATGAGCACCTCAGTTGATGGGTCTGTCCCTGCAGCAGCAGCAGCAGAGATGGGCCCAGCACCTCCATCTCTGCATTGCCCTAGCCTATGGCAGCCCCCCCAACCTGCCCCTGTGGGCATGTGGGGCTCTGGGAGATTCTGACAGCCACCCCAGGGCCTTGCAGGCACTACTGCTCTGAGTTGGGTGCTGCGGGCAGGGTGCTGTGCAGGAATCTGCGTTCTCCATTTGCCATAGAAAAATGCTGTAAACCCTGATTGTCTCCTTTTAAAGAGAAAAACCCATAGTTTCTCCTTTAAAGGAGAAAAATGTGGGAAATGATGGGTTTCCCTTGCAAGCTTGTAGAGTTCCAGCCTGCAAGGGGCTGCAGGGAGCAGGGTAGGGGCGCCATGCGCATGTGTGTGTATATACACATACGGACATATGAACATGGGTGCCAGGCATCCTGGAGAGCAGCTCCTGCAGGTAAATCTGGCGGGGGCGGGAAATTGAGTCCCCCATAGCGAGGGAGGGAGTTGGGCAGGACTGGGGCTGCTGCCCAGCTGGGGGGGTACATGGGGCTTGAGGCCCTCAGGGCACAGGCCCTGGTGAAATTGGGCCCCTCTCTGCCCCTGGTCCTGTCATGGGCCCCTGCCCTCTGGGGGTCCCTGCCCCCAGCCGCTGGGAAGACATCCTTAGGCTGGGCTTGAGGATGCTGCTCCCAGGAGCCTCTCCATGCATCTGCCAGGTGGTTTCCTTCGACCTGGCACCCTCATCTCATCCCCTGGTTTATGCATCAGGCAGCTGCCCTTGCCCCATCTCTGCTGGCATGAGGAAACAGAAAGTCCTCAAGGCTGGGCTGAGACCCTGGGAGTCCCCTCACACTATGATACCAATGCACAGAGACCTATGTTGTGGGGTGCAGTGGAACTGGTACGTGTTGGAGGTGGGAGGCCTGGGCAGTGGGGTACAAAGCCACGTGCCCTGATGGGGTGGCTAAGGGGAGCAATGGGGGCTGGAAGGGCAGGGGCTGCATTGAATAGATGGCGTATCTCTTGCTTGTACAGATGTTGCTGCTGAGGTGCAAGTCTCCACATCCAGGTGGGAAAGGAAATTTCCAGCCTCCACCCTCCGCCAGCAGGGCTGTGGCCTCCTGTTCCCCACGTGGGTGGGAAGTGTTGGGGAGTGCTCAGGCTTCTATGGGTGGGAGCCCTAGGTGAGAGGGGAACCCTAACTCCCCCTCCTCTCCCACACTTTGATGCTTGCTGGGGCTGGATGAGAGGAGGGGTAAAGAGCAGGGTCTCTGGAAAATGGAGCTGTGGCTTAGGGGCTGGGCAGGGCTGGACTCTGAGCCTCCCTGGTGAGGCTGGGACACAAGGTCCACCTCCTTCCCTCCCTCCCCAGAATCCAGCTCGGGAGGTAGCACCAGCCAACAGTGTTCCCCCTGCTCAGGGAAGCCTGCTCTGGACAGGAGGACCCTGGCTGTTGGTCTCCCCAGCTCCAACCTGCAGCATTGCCCTCATCCACTTAGGTCTGGAATCATCCTGATGAAATTGGACCAGTGCAAAGTCCTGTGCTTGGGATGGGATCAGCCCATGCACAATGCAACCTGGGTGGGGACTGGTCGAGGTGCTGCACTGCAGAGAAATCCCCAGGAGATCGCCATGGACCACAGCCAGGATTGCCATCAGCAGAGCTATGATGTTCCAGTTTCCATGCCCAGCCCAGACACTGCTTTCAGGGAGGCATGGAAATGCTGAGTGGAGCAGATGGGCCCCGTGAGGCGAGGTGGTAGAGCTGGGATTTATCAGTCACAAGAAGAGAAGGCCAAGGGGCCTCTGGGTCGTCTTCACCTGCAGAAACCAGTCTCACTGTAGCAATGGGGGTGTTGGGAAATGTCTTGTAAGGCTATGACCCATGAGGCCCTAGAGGTTCTGTCATGAGGAACTGGGGGCAGGCTGGACAAATGCATGCTTGGGCCAGGTCCCATGGTGCTGAGTCTTCCTTGAGTAGGTGCTGGGGCTCTAGGGCTCCCCCCAGCCGTAGCATGCAGTTCTAGCATCTTCCGATGCCCTGGTTGCTTCCATCTATAGGCACCTTGAAAGCCATCTCAGAGCTGGCAAGTGCTAGTTCTGCATAGCTCCCCTACCTGTGTCATGGTAGCCCACACTGAGTGCCCTGGAGCTGGGCTGGGTGGGGGTGGGGGTGGGCTGTGCCCCAGGTGCTACTGGTACAGTTTGCTCTGTGGGCTTTCTGCAGTTGCCGGAGGCATCTTTCACTAGGCAGGCCAAGGCCATAGCCCATCCCAGTCCTCTTCCCTGGCAGGGCTGTGGTAGATTTGCCTGCCCTACTCCCTGCCCAGGCAACCCCATGACCCCAAAAGCCCCCATACCCCTGCCCCTGCCTCCCCTGGGATCCTCTGCCAAGACCTGCACAGAGCTGGAGAAGGGCCCAGCAGTGATACCAATGCTGATGAGGCCCTCATCAGTACTGACCCCGTAGGAGCAGGCCTGGGCTCTACACAGCTCTGTAGCCTGTGAGGGGTGGGGGAGGCAATTGGCAAATGGCTTGTACTTGGTCTAGCAAGGAGTGTAGGATTCCCATTGCAGGCAGGCCCTGTTCATCCCTTTCACATGCATTTGCAGCTGTTTCAGAGCCACACAGGCTCCTGCCAGGTGCTGCAGCTCCAGGAGGCTGCTCCTAACCTCAGTGCCCCAATGTGCAGCCAACTGGAGCTCATCCAGCCAAACGGGAGGGGACTTGCCCTCTTATGGCCAGGACCCGGCTGACTCCTTTTGTCCGGAGCTGGGGGTTGGCCATGTTGACATTGGCCTCTGCAACCCTGCATGTGGTTAGTGCAGCGAGCAGGCTGTTCTGGCTTCTTGGGGAGTGCACGCACACCTGTATCTGTGGCAGGGAGAGGCTTCCTGTCTGTGCTGGGGAATGTGTGCACATGTATTGGCAATACAGGGCGCCTCATCTGTGCTGGGGTCCTGCCACCTGCCACGTATGTTGGGGACAGGGCAAGGCATCTTGTCTGTGCTGAGGAATGTAGACACACAGTGGCATGAAAAGGCCTCCCATCTATGCTGGTGAGTGCATGCACATGCATGTTGGCATCAGGGTGAGGCTTCCCATCTGTGCTGAGTAGCATGGGTACATTCATATGAATCTATGAATTCATGTTGGTGTCAGGACAAGGCTTTCCGTCAGTGCTGAGGAGTGTGCATGCATGTGCATGTTGGTGGCAGGGCAAAGTCTTGTGTCTGTGCTGAGGACTGTGCACACGTGTTTGCAGCATGAGGTCTCCTGTCTGTCCTGTGAAGCACATGCACACAGGTGTTGGTGGCAGGTGAGGTCTTCTGTCTTTGCTGGGGAGTTGTGCGCACACATATCCATGGCAGGATGAAGCTGCCTGTCTGTGCTCGGAGGTGCATGCACACACGTCAGCAGCAGGACAAGGTCTCCTTTCATACCTAGACCCCCAGCCTTGTTCTGCATCCACTGCCTGGTACAAAGGATGCTGTGGATGTTCCATGGGGCAAAGGGGCTGGAGGAACCAGTAAGAACTGGATGACAGGTGAACTAGCAGACTGGCTGCCAACACAAGAGGCAAGAGGCAGGTCTGCAGCCCAGGTTTTTACTGCTTCCACCCCAGAACTCTCACCCCAACAGCTGCCTGGCCCCCCATGATGGCCACAGAGATTCTTACGTGTACCAACTGAGGAGACTCCAGGGGCACAGGGAGAAGGGTGGCACACTGGCCCGAAGTGGGAGTTTTTGTATTGGTGTAGGTCCCCAAATGTCCCCCCAGCCTGTACCCTAGTGTAGAGACTGGTTCTGACAGTCTAATGACATGCTCTCTGATTGTAGTCCAGTTTCTGTTTTGCTGACACTTGGGGCTGGAGTGAAGGGAGCCTCTTGTGCACTTGGAGGTGTTAGTTAATTGGCACTTCTGTCCTTGGGTAAGTAGAAGGGAGGGTTTCTCGCCCCTCCTTTGCCATCAGGGAGTATCACCCTGCTTCCTCTTTACCTCAGTTATGGTCTTTACCAACAAGGCCACTTTGTTTTCATACCTTATCTAATAAATTTAAGAATACTATATTTATTATGGCAAAATGACAATACATTACAATAAAGCTGTGAAGTACTATATCTGGATTTTTCAGTTTAAAGTCTTGTTTTAAAAGCTCTTTTCAGGTCTTGTGCCCTTCTCGTTAGATCTCCTTACAGGTTTTGCTGGAGGTGCTGATGCTTCCTTTCCTTTGCTGACCAGGGTGGTCCTCACCGCTACCAAGGTTCACTCTGTGGTCACTCAGAAACCAGCTTTAGGGCCTTCTGCTCAGCCCCATGT